CTCTGGATCCAGTGACGCTTTCTTCAGGACTGGTCGGACTACCGCCTCCTTTAAAGGGGCAGGTACCCGACCCTCCCTCAGAGAAGCATTAACCACTTCCAAGATCCAGATCCCAATCCCATGCTTGGAATTATTTATTAACCAAGACGGGCAAGGGTCCAATAGGCAAGTGGTGGGACATACTCGTCCAAGCACCTTGTCCACATCACCAGGCTGCAATAACTGAAATTCATCCATTAATTTTGGACCAGACGGCGGCACTGGTATCTCCCCAGAAACCTCTGAGTCACTACTAGAGTCTAGCTCGTGACGAATCTGAGCGATTTGCTCCCTGAAATGCTTGGCAAAGTTGTCACAGCGGGCCTTCGAGGGTGGAACCAGATCTTTCTTAGGACCTGGACAAACCAGGCCTTGCACCACTCGAAAAAGCTCCACCGGACGGCATTTTGAGGAGGCAATGGAAATGGAAAAGAAACTCTTTTTCACCGCCCTCACCGCCACAGCATAGGCCCGATAATGGGTCCTCAAGTGTGTTCGGTCAGATTCATCCCGTGATTTCCTCCACCTACGCTCTAGTCATCTCCCAGCCTGCTTCATCGCCCACAATTCAGGTATATACCAGGGGGAAGAGTGGGCTCTGCCCGGCGGGAGAGGATGCTTAGGGGCGATCGTGTCAACAGCCCTGGTCATCTCCCCGTTCCACAGTTCGACCAGAGCCTCGACAGGAGCACCAGTCTTGTCAGCTTTAGTTCTTTGAATGTGGTAACTTTCCAATGTTGAACCTCTGTGGCCGATCCTCTTTTTGTGAGAGGTCCTCCTTCCATGATGGAGTCTTCCTCCATGGGGGACCCTGCATCTGGTGAGGCCTCACCCACGGATGTGAGTGGATGAAACTTCTCTCTGGAGTGGTGTATTCACTTAATTTGGCCTTGGGCCTTAACCACTATATGGGTTGTCAGGACCACAGTGTATGGACCTGTCCAGTTTTCTGTTAACAGCAGCTTTTTCCACTTTCTGATCAGGAACTAGTTGCCAGGCTGGAATGGATGAACTGGGGCATCCAGTAGCTGCCTCTGGAAGGGAGCTGCATACCTGTGCAAGGAGGATAAAACAGCCTGGAGGGCAGTGATGTGTTCTCACAAAAGGGATTTTCCCATTCTTCTGTTACAGGTACTCTCTGGCCAATGGGAGGGATTCAAGGAGGGAAGCCAAAAAGTAATTTGAAAGGTGACAATTTTAGTCCCCTTCAGAGCATGCATCATATCTGTGACAGGACTATAGGCAGAGCCTGAGGCTTGTCTCAGTGCAGACTTTGGCTAACATGGTTTGCAGAGTCCAAGTCATCCTTTCTACCTGGAACATACACAAATGTGGGCCGTCCATCTTCATCTACTCTTCCAAGGACCTCCCTAAGGGGAAACTGCTTAACTGGGGCTCAAGATTTTCTAATTGGTTTTTGAGGGGTAAGGACTGGAGGCTTTTTATGGTACATAGTGGGTCCCTCCCCTGAAGTTCCTGGCCTGGCAACTGCAGTCCCAGTTGTCCCTATTCCAACGGTATGTAATGGGAGGGGTGTTGGAGGCCAGTCAGACGGGGTGTCTAATATATGACAGGGTATCCAGGAAATCATTCGGTCTCTCCCCAGGGCCTGACTTGGGAATCACTAGGAGAATCCAAAGTCGCACTTTCTGAGTTGGCTTCCATCCCTTACAAATTTGTCCTTTACATTTTTGTAGATGAGGATGTTTCTCTAATGCAAGTCCCTGTCAATTACCTATACAAGGTTACTGGTCCCAGTGACCATCTTGAGTTACAATGGTGTGAACAGCTTGTATTAATCCCATATTCCATGACCCTTGAATCAGCCATCTCACACCAAAGGTTGTCCATTTACTCCTGCACAGGGTTGTCAGAACATCTTTTTTCCATTCAATCCCATAATCACTCCTTTTCCATTGTTTCCAGTTCTGCAGAATACACTCCAGGGGGCTGCCATCTTTCGAAGACTTAGACATTCCATAACTACAGGAGAATCTATTCCTTCCCAAGTCCACTTGCAGTAGAAACACTGGCAGTCTTGGGGTTGCCCTTCGCACTGGGTTCCAGGCATCTTGATTGGTTACGGTCGAGCTATAAGGCATACAGGATACCAGGTAAGTAGGGAAGCATTTACTGAGAATTTGCCCCAAACAGTAAAATAGGAAGTCATTTACCCTGTTTCTAGTAGTGTCCCGCTCAGGGCAGGCTGACTCTGTCTTGGGTTGGTTCCTTCTAACTAAGGCATCCCTTTAACTTCCCAGGTGTCTGGATTCGTGTTCAAAGGGGAGCAAACATCAGCCATCAACAGGAGGGACCAATACATACTTCACCTGGTCTGCTGAACGGTCTTGTCTCAGACCACGAGGCTGTCTGGGAGGCCTCCTGGCTGGCTCACCAAATGGTCTTGGTTTTTTCCTGGAGGGTCTCAATTGTCAGGGGGAAAAGGAAAGCAACATCCAGGAGAGATCTGAATTGTTTATTTTGCATGCAAGATAGGTCAGCAGTGTAGGCTCATGCCCAAAAGCAGAGCTGACAGTAAGCAAAGTTTTGGGCATGGCCTTTTATAGTCCACAGGTGAATAATTACTTCTCATTGCACCTGTCAGGGAACTTTGGATCTAGAATGTGGCCATCACCAGAGTTGCTGGGTCACAGAAACAACCTGAACGGTTCACCATTTTGCAGTTACAGCAAACATTGTAAGCAGCCAGCTTTTCTAACACTTCTGAGCTACCATTTTTATGATGGCTATAAAGGATTGCTTATATGGGGGTTAATTTTTTTCATGTGCTATGAGGTTCTTGTTGTGCCTGACTCCCCAGGATCCTGATATAATAGTATCTATCAGCTTGCTCAGGACATCCAGATAGGCATGACTCCTCTAGGATCCAGATAGGCATGACTCCTCTAGGCTTCAGATAGGCATGACACGGTCAAACACTAGAATAATCAAACTGTCTCAGGGTGTGCATGATAGGCTTAGCTCTCCTGAGCTCTAGCCCATTCAAATGACTAGTAACTGCCTCAGAGAATTCCCCTCGGAAAGTGGAAAGAGCTTACGTACAATGGACAAAGATTGCTTGGAAGGTGTAAATTAAAAGATAAAACTTACTGCTAATCAAATCTGCTTCTATATCGCTTGCTTAACTGCTGCTATGTGATTTTGTAACTTCCCGTTGTCACCATTGTTCTGATTTCTGTCAAAAACTGATTGTATTGTTGCCCATTTACCGAAAACTCACTGTGAAGCTATAAAAACCTCATTCCAACTCCACTCGGGACCGCATTCCTCTATGAATGTGGTCCCTGCCGCAGGAATAAATCTCCTCTTTACTTTACCATCCGGTCTCTGGTCTCGTCTGTAACACCGTGGGTTACAACAGTTCTCATGGGATTTGTATGCTGAATGTATTTTACCTGGGGTATATATGTTTGTGTGCATGGTTTGCCCCTTTGTGGGTACTTCTCTAAGCATCACCAGTATTCCTTCTGTGCTTCCTGGGAATGTTTGTGGCACAGATTCCTCCTCCACAGCCTGATTGGTTTCTTGACATAGACAATTGTTTCTAAAGTGCATTCGTCTGTGAAATAGATGGTGGATCAGAGGATTGATTTCAGGAGTAGTTTTATGCTTTGAAGCTTAGACCTCACCTGTGCCTTGCATTTAGTTTCTTGATATTACAAAGCACTTGCTGCCTTGCCATGAGGCAAGCATTTCTTTTATTTAGATCCAGAAGCAAATAAACACACCAGTAATTGAAGATTCAATATACTAATGAAGGATACAAGAGGTCCAGTCTTGGCACACTGTGCCCAACTAAGCACAACAAGAATGAGAGGGGGAAAAGTACAGATTTTATTCCTGAAAATAGTTTGATCACAGCAAAAGGACGGTCAACCCAGAACACACGGTCCAGTCCCCTTTTATACCTTTGCTGACCAGATAGTGATTACAGAAATCTATTAGTTTGAAATTCCCCCTGCAGGTGTTGATTGGTACATTTGAATCCAGGTAGTTCCTGCATTTTACCTGGGGGGCTCAGGTGAGGGATTACACAACCTCTGCCTGCATGTGACTTGGCTCCAGTTGCACAGATATCTCTGGCATGAGGTAATCATCCCTTTGTTCTAGGGAACTGGCATGCCTGAGAAAATTTGGGCAGGCCTCTACATGTCCTCCACTAACTAAATAACTCAGTACATTATACTATTAGTTGTAAGCAGTCCAAAAGGATATGGCATAGTATACAATGTTACTGAGCAGGGCTGTTCAGTTCTTTTTGTCACCACAGCCCCCAGAAGATGGCCAGCAAACCACACCTTCACACTCCAAGATCTATTCCAAGATTCATCACCATTGAGACTTGTAGGACTTGCACACTTGTAAACTCTGATGGCTCAGAGGATCTCATAAAATTTATATTTATTTATTTTCCTATTTATAAGCTGCCAAATATTTCAAAGGACTCTCTAGGTGATGTACAATGGGCGAAAATTAGCAATGTTGAGCCGCAAGTCCTTTTACACAATTAGCTTGACCCCTATGCTAGGTCGGTGTGTTCTTAGCTTTGTTGAAATTAGCAATTATCACTACCCTGTACTAACATTGCAAAGCAGAAACACCCCATCAGCTCATAACTGCCCAAATGTACCCAACTCAATTTAGCATTATTACCTAACTGTAAGATGTACCCTGCCACGAATCCTGACCACAATAAGAGGAAACCCAATGCAGAGTCCAAGGAAATGGCAAAGGAAGATGCTTTTGCTTGAGCAAGAGGGATAGCTGAGATAATGTTTTTATAAGAGGTATAAAAATTCTCCAACTTTGTCCTGCAGCACGGCAGATTTGGGTTGTATCCTCTGGTTTACTGTGCACATATTGTCCTGAATAAAAATTGCTGCTACTGCATCTCTGCTGGTGTGAGTTTCCTCCTTGATTCTGCAGACCCAAGTTCCTGGCTGGGCAGACTGTCCGCGACAAGTTTTTGGGGCAGACTGTCTGCAACAGAAATATACCACATCAGTCATCATTAAAATATGAATGGCACATTAATAATAATTTAACAGGATCATTTTAAAACATGACTAGATGAGCCTGGCAACCATAAAATTACTAAAATTTCAGTAAGATTAAAAACATCTAAAATCAAATTTAAACCAGTTGTTTTCAAAGGTTAGTCTATCAGCCTGATGGCAGATATTTATTTATTTAAAGATCTTATATCCCACCCTTCACAGTGTCTCAGGATATACTCTCTCAAGATGTACCCTCTTGAGCCTGTCCAGCTGCAGCAAATGGACAATGGCCAGCTTCACATGTTTGAGGGATCTGTAGTGGCCCTGTATTGTAATTCCAAGCAGTTAGGGGTATGCCACAGTCCATCCGTCTTATGCCTCATCCCAGGCAAAAGACCAAATTCTTGCTACTTCATTAAACTTGTCATTTTGCTGACATAAGGAAGAATCTTGCTTTATGTATTGTAATGTTAATATAATTCTGGAGTCAGCCTGCTGCATTCTTTAGATTAGCATGTGGCACAAGGGTTTGAGGAAAATGAAGAGTAATCTTCATTTTTACAAGTGCTAAATACTATCAGTAGACCTTGGCTATTTGACTATTTTTCATCAATTTATCTTCCCCCTCTAACAGTAATCAATACCAGGTGCAACCTTGGGAGTTATGCATATATAGTATAAGATGTGGAAATACTCTTCCCTGCTGAACCTCAGCTCAGGCTGAACCATGGAAGCAGTGCTGTTCAGACTAGCTGCTGTCATTTGGAGTTCCTGATAGCAGAAGGGATGTCATAAGCATACTCTCTGTTGTGTTCTTGTTGCTTTTATTTCTGTTTAATCAATCTCTTCCTTCCACACTGGTGTGCTTATTGCTTTCAAATGAAAAAGAATATTTTGCCTCTTGGCCACACAGAATCCTCTCATATTTGGCGATAACAGACCCTCTCTGTTTTTCAGTCTTAGACTTGTTGTGGCCTGGTCCTTTTTTGACATGAGTGCTATTGTCTTGCAACTAGATAATGTCAGGCGAAAGGGGAAACCCCTGGACAAGCAAGGAAGTTCAGAAGATTAAAATCATGCCTAGACAAAACCTCAATCACATTTTGTAGAAGTTGTTTGTAAGCAGTCTCAAATACTTGGTCTGTAGGATATAATCAAACCACAAGATGTCTCAGACTTCTGTAATCAGACAGATTATTCCTGCTTCTATTTTGGTGGTCTCCCTGCTGCTATGTTCCCTTCTCTTACACAGTATTTCACCTTATTGTGTTCTGAAGAAATTGAAGTCCACAACAGAGAAGAGCAAAAAGCAAGTTCCATTGAATACTGAGGCCTTGTACATGCTAAATGGAGCTGCAGATTTTTTACAGACAACTTCCTGGCCTGCCATTGTGGTTTAATTGCCTCAAATCCTTTGTGTTAACATTTGCAGATTTTGAGATCACCAAAATACCCCTGGCTTTCTTATTCACTGGTACCCCCTATAGCTAGAGATATGCAAAAGGTGGTTGTTGCTATATGTCATCAAATTGTCACCAATGTATGGGGACCTTATGAATGAAAGCCCTCCAAAATGTCCTATCCATGATAGTCCTGCTCAGCTTTTATTATTTCTTATTTAGATTTATATCCTGTTTTTTTCTTTCAAAGAACCCAAAGCAGCTTGTATATTTATTCTCCTCCTGCTGTCAATATTAACCTCAGAACAGCAACGCTGTGAAGTATGTTGAACTGAAAGTTTGTGACTGGTCCAAAGTCAGCCATTTGGCTCCATGGCCAAGCAGGGCCTAGAACCCAGATTGCCTAAGTCCCAGTCCCAGGCTTTTAACCACTACAACACACCAGCTTGCAGTATTAGAAACACAGAAACATAACAAGTCAGGAGGGATCTCCTGGGCCATCTAGTCTGACCAGCCGCACAAACTGGCTCCACTTAAACAGTATTCAACATATTAAAGTCCATGGCTTCTCTAATGGAGTCAGTGGGTAGGACTACACTCTGATCCTGCAACCATGTATTTTTTTCTTTAAGTACAACCACTTACTATGATTCAAAGTAATGGCTCCAAGGAGAGTAAAAATTGCAAGCTGCTCTGTTGATGCATATCAACAAAGCACTTCCAACAGTTTTGATCTCCAGAAGCATCAAGTCTTTTGTAAAGCAAAAGGCTCTTAGTTGCCCATTCAAGACCAGACCACTTCAAAATACTTGGCATTGCAACAAGGAAAATTCATTTTAATGAATACAAATACTGTGCAAAAAATACTTTGCATTAGGAAGATTCATTTCCCCCTCAGCTACTTGCGGGTAAGCTCAAACAAAGGGGGAATTCTCAGCAGGGAAATAGTTGCATGCAGACCTTATGAATGAAAGCCCTCCAGAATGCCCTGCCCTGAACAGCCCTGCTCAGCTCTTGTAAACTCAGGGGTTTCCTTTATGCAGTTGATGCATCTCATATCTGTTCTTCCTCCTCTTCTCTGCCTTTGACTTTCAATAGCATGTTGATCTTCTCCAGGTAATTTTCTTTTCTCATCATGTACCCAAATGTTTCATCATTTTTGCTTCCAGGTAAAGTTCTGGCTTTATTTGTTCCAGGATTGCCTTACTCATCTTTCTGGTTGCAAATCTCTCCTCCAGCATCCTGTTTAGAATGCCCCGATTTTTTTCCTGTTAGCTTTCTTACTGTCCAGCTTTCACATGCATACATAGTGACTGGGAATACAATAGTATGGGTGATCTTTGCTTCTTTGGTGCAATGTCCTTACACTTGATTGTCTTTTCTAGTACCTTCACTGCTGCCATCCCCATTCTCAGTCTTTGAATTTTCTGCTTGCTGTTTCCACTTGAATTGATGACCAAGCCAAGGTATGCAAAACTTACATAAGTTCAATTTCTTCACTGTTAA